CTTTCTTTCTTTCTTTCTTTCTTTCTTTCTTTCTTTCTCTTTCTCTTTCTCTCTCTCTCTCTGTGTGTGTGTGTGTGTGTGTCAGTGGTGGGTTTCAAAAAAAAATTGGAACCTCTTCTGTAGGTATGGCCTGCTTTTGCGGGTCCACTGGTGGAACCTCTTCTAACCGGTTCGGTAGATTTGACGAACCGGTTCTACCGAACTGGTGCGAACTGGCAGGAACCCACCTCTGGGTCAGTTGCTGCTTTTTTCATTTTCTTGGGCTTTGCTAATGCCTGTCTCTTGGCTGCCCAATGAATTAATTTTGGCTGGCTGCTTTTCATCTGCTGTTCCCCTCCTTTCTCGCTCTCCTTTCTCGCTAAAAAAAAATGAAGCTGAAGGCGATATGGACACCGCTGTGGAGTTTTCTCTGCTGCAATACCGAAATAATTTGAAATGGCCAGGATGGTTGTTGTCGTTTTGTTAACTTCCCAGTTCAGCCTACCGCAGTGATGTCCCCTGGGGGTTCCCCACCCCAGTCTTAACGAGATCGGATCCTGGGTAGCTTTTGAGGCCACTCAAGATTGACCAGGGGGCTGCAGAGAGAAAGCAAAGGAAGTGAAGATATCTCAGCGATATGGTTCAATATGTGAACTGTTGCGACACCGTTATGGCTCATAAATCAATCTCTCTATTTTTCCTCCTTGCAGACATTCTTCTAAATCCATATCATCCCTTTTAGCCAACTAAAATTTGGACAAAAAAAGGAGATATGGGGGGGAAAAATCCCCAGACATACATTGCTTAGATCAGTGTTTCTCAACCTTGGCAACTTGAAGATGTCCGGACTTCAACTCCCAGAATTCCCCAGCCAGCATTCGCTGGCTTAGATGTTAGTGCCATATTTAGACTGTGTCCAGCTTAGAAACACTGGCTTGGATGTTAGTGCCATATTTAGACTGTGTCCAGCTTTGTGGCACGAATCTAGTATGTCGACAGCAGAGACTGTATCGAATTGCACCCCTAATTCGGCAGGTTTTCCCGGACCAAAATGCTTGCACATTTATTCCCAGCAGCAATTTGAGGCTCGCCGAGCAGGATGCGTCTCCTCGGTGAGTTCACGGAAGGAACTTTTTAGGAGAAGACCTTTATCTCAAAGTTTAGAAGTGATACTTTATTAGAGCAAGTGTTGTTCTTCCTGCAGTTTGCTGAGATAATGCCCCGTTTCCTCCTGTCTCTTCTGTGCATGACCCATGCCTTGTGGGGTTAATTTCTTGTTGCTGGCCCAGATTTCCCTCTGATTCCACCAGATCAGGATTGTGTGACAGTTTTTGTGTGTGTGTTCGTGTGTAAATATAGACCCAACCTCTGGAATTTATCAACACAGCTTATTTGGTTGCTGGTTGGAGATACCAAAAATGATTTGCAAGGAGAGCAGCAGATATTCTGCTTCCACCAGCAGCCAGGAACAACTTGCAGAATTACTATTGCTTTCTAAAACAGCAGAGGCAAAAACGGTTGAAATTCAGCTCACGTCTTGGCCTCCCTTTTTTCGTCCTCCCACAAACTTAGTCTGAACCAACACTAAAGAATACGGTGCAATGGCAGCTTTGGAACTTGGATCCGAAGGTTGCGTCCGAGTCGCCAGACCTTTCAAGAAGAATGAATGGGAGCAGTTCAGAGAAACGGTGGGTGGTGAGCTGCACTGTGGGAAAGAGGAATCATTCATAGTGCCAGGAAACTCCTGCAAATTGTTCAGTCCAGACCACAATTGGTGTCAAGGTTCAAGAGCAAGAAGAGGGTAATGCTTTACAGGGTCGTAAGATCATCCTAGACTGCAGTGCTTTGATAAAAATGGAGGTTAAACTGTAGATAATACCTGGAGCTGTTCAGGAGAACTGACTTCCCTACACTTACATATCTGTTGTGGCCCAGCAGGAGCCGTTGGAGCTGCCACCAGACTCCGACAGTGAGGGGCCCTATGAGTCAGCTCTGGAGGATGTGGAGGACCCTGGNGCCACTCCCATCCGGTCACATGGGCGGCAAGCCACTCCCACAAAGGAGGCCACACCCACAGAGTAGGTTCGAACAATTTTTAAAACCCACCACTGCTTCCGACAATTACTTGAAGACAATATTACTAATTGTCTGGCTTAAACCCAGAACTGGTGATGAAAGCAGACCCAGAGGCCCTGACCAAGGCGATCCT